GAATATATTGATATTACAGGCAGCCTTTCTCAAATGCAGCCACCGTGGCTGAATGTGGTCACCAGGGACTTTTCTTGTGGCCACGGTCTCATGGGTGGTGATGGGGAGTGGGGGGAAAAACAGCAGACCCACCCTCGGGCCCCCAGCCAGGGTTGGTCCCTGCCCCCTTCTGGAGTCACAAACATTGTAGGAACAGGTGACCAGTGTGTGTTCCCCTCTTTTCTGAGGGTGGTGGGGCTTGGGATTTGGGCTTCAGCCCTGGGGCAGTGTGCAGCAGCTCTGGCCATGCGGTGGTGAACTCTGTCCCCCAGCCGCAAAGCTCTGGGCTCCGGCTCCAGGCTCCCAACCTCCCCACATCGCCCCTGACCCCTGCTGCCTCCTCCAGCCCCCAGCCATGCAGCAGGACCCCAGGCTCCAGCCCCTGACTCATGCCCATCACCTCGACCTTACAACCAGATGACTTTTTTCGTAAAACTATCTAAGTATTTTAGGAAAAACTATCAGAGCGGTCACCAGCAAGAGTTCGTGGTTGCATCTGAGGCCACCAAAAAATTTGTTGTGAGGACCCCCATAGTTCCACTTTCAGAATGTTAGTGGAACTATGGGCCAGTGTTTTTCTTCTATAACTAGACTACCTCTTACTGCTCTGTGTAACTAGGCCTGGGGGGACTAACTCATCATGATAAATTATATGCATTACAGCTTTTTCTTTCCATGGCATACCCACACACCGATTACACATATTTCTTGATTGTTTCATTATTTGGTCAAATTTTTCATGGATTTGCTCCATGGTTTGCTATTAGAAATTCAGGATGTGTTGATTTGCTATTGTTACGAGTTCAGTGAAACCTTGTTTTGGACTGAGAGAAAATCTGATTCAAAATAATGTGTGAACAGGCCCTTCACTTAAAATAGTTGTAAAAACACTTAAGAGACCCCACAGCAAAAACAAAGCCTAATAGAATCTGCCCAGAAATTAGCACCATGTGGGAGTGAAGATTCCACTGGCTATTGTGACCAGGTTTGTGTGCATGGGTGAGGGAGGGAGTGAGAGGACATATAGAAACTGAGAACAGACAAAAGCGGAGAGAGAGAGGCAAAACAGAATAAAGCCAAGCAGTAGGCTGTGAGAATAGTGTGATCCAGGAAAAAGGTAGAGAAAGCTTCTGGGGTTGAAAAGAGGTTTGGGGGCAGTTAGTAGAGTCTATATGGATACAAATCCCAAGCTGAAACACAATTTGCCACTGGATCAAGAAAAAGTAATTCACTGCACAGTGCTGAGAGAAATCAGAGAGGAAGCAAGAGCAAACAAAATGATAATAATGGGGGACTTCACCTACCCATATATAAAATTGTCAAATGTCATAAATATTTCTGATAAGTTGCAAACCCAAGTAATATTTTATAATGCATCTTTGACCACTCAACTGTTTTCCATTCACTGATGTATCTCCTCAGGACTACATCTAGCATTCCACACTTCAGAAATGCTTCAAAGAGCCAACATTTATTTGTAAATTAAAAATATCAAACTACCAGAAAAATATGTCCTCTTCTTCCTTTGAAATGTGAAATTCTCACATACACCCCCACACAAACATGTACGCATTGTTATAGCCCAGGCTGAGTCCGCTCATTTGGACAGTCACCAGTGTAAGGATAATAGGGTATTAACCTGGGAGCAGTATCCAATGGCTCACATTTGCCTTTGAGTTTGCTTGAGTCTTGTTGCACTTTTGAGACTCTACTCTAGAGACCCTTCCATGGCACAGCTCTACCACTGCAGCTGCACCGCTGTAAGGTCTCCCGCGTTGCCATCTATGCCAATGGCAGAGACCTCTCCTGTTGACATCATTAAACCACTTCCAATGGGCGGCGTTGGCTGTGTCAGTGGGAGATATTCTCATGGAGGATAGGTCAATCATGTAGGATAGGTCCATCGATGGCTATTAGCCAGGATGGTCAGGGATGGTGTCCCTAGCCTCCATTTTCCAGAAGTTGAGAATGGGCGACAGGGGATGGATCACTTGATGATTAACTGTTCTGTTCATTCCTTCTGAAGCACCTGGGATTGGCCACTGTCAGAAGACAGGATACTGGGCAAGATGGATCTTTGGTCTGACCCAGTATGGACGTTCTTATGTTCCTGGTATCTACTTTTGAGGAGCTATTAAAGCTATTGTGACATACAAGGGCTCACATATCCTCATAAACTGATGGATCATTAGGGCATCCCTCATATTCCATATTGTATTAATTTAAATGGGATATGTGAGCCCAAAGACTCAAAGGTGTTAACACATCCCAGTAACGGTCCAACATTAAACAGTATTAAACAAGATTAGGAGTTTGGTATACAGTGTCCTCAACCTGCTTAGTCCCCTGGCAAATAAAATCCTTTCAAACCTCTTATTAAAGATAACAGAAGGAGGGGGAGGGGAGTTTAAAGCATGTGACATGTAAATTGTAAAGGAAGGCTTTGATTTAAACCATAATCCAAGTTCTCTTTCCCTTTAATAGAATAGAGAAGAAATTAGCTGGAGAAGATGGGATGGAGTTGTTGTTATACAAGTGTAATCCTGCTTCCTTTAAGAGAAAACAAAATGAACACACAAAAATGGGAGATTGTAGTGTGTTAGAAGAAAAGAACAGCAAAGAGAGAAAATGCAGCATCTGTCTCAGAGGCTGACTCTCTCTTGGAACCTCATTGCTGCAAAAACAAAGGCATAGCACATGGTCTTATCAGCCACTCCAAGATCTGGCAAACTTGTACTTGCATTGGGCTGTTTTGGCATTGCTTTTAGCTCCCTCTTTCCAAACACAGGTTTACATCAGTGTTGCAAAACATATATCTTGACCAGCTATGCCAGACTCTTATGAAACAGAAGTTAAAGGAGAGACATAGGAAAGAAAAGAAATAAGGTGTAGAAGGAAAAGGACACATGGGGTGGGGACACGGAGGACGATATAAAGTGGCACTTCCCAGATGATATCCAGAATTTAGCTGGAAGCTGATGGAGGTAGCAATGTCATCTGTGTCCTCTCTCTGGCCCGGTCTGGTCAGGATATATCTGAGGACTAGGATGAAGATGGTCCAGTATACCAGGGGATGATAGGGATGGAAGCCAAGATGATAAACCTCACTGCAATGGTTGTTGTCAGACAACTGCTTCTTCTACTAATTTTTTCCAAGAATTCTTTTCTTTCCAAGAACTCTTCAGAAGCCAAAAAGGCAGTTTTGGGCAGAATAGTCCATCCTCTCATTATTTTGTCCTCCAATAGCCCTAATTTCCAGCACAACAATTTTGTTTAATTGATTTCTCCTCTTGTTTACTCATCATAATCTTAACATAATCCTTGAGTGGTATCAGTAAAACCCTTTCTGTTTAAATTAATTCAGTCTGTCTTTTTCTTCCATCTGTTCTTAAACAATTTTATATAACAACTCATTGTGACAATTTGTGAACTTTCACTCTCAATTTTCAGGTGAGTTTACAGTTAGGATAAATGTGTAAGCCCACTTATCATAGCTGCCATATAAAAGAATTCTCACAACTTTATTTCTGTAATCTTTAACTCACAAGATTGTTATTATTTGGCACCAGATTGATGAAACAAGTTTTTGAGCTCATAAGTAAGGAATGATCATTTTCTTGACAAATCTGCTGGGCTCAACAGAGACAGGTAATGTCTCATAACCATGAACCCATGTTGGAGAACTTGGTAACAGTCGTTTGTCTAAGGCCAAAGGACACAAGGCCCACATTTCTTTGGTGAAATATAATTAAAGACTATAAGCTAGTTATTTACACTCTCCCCCATTTACACTCATTAAACCCATTGCAATTGCTTAGGAAAGACATTAGGGAAATGACTCTGAGGGTCCCAGCCTAGAGATAAGATTATAGCTAACCCCAGTGCCCTTTAACCTGAAGACATAAAACTGCTTTAGCATTTCTTGTTAAACTGACTTCATTCAGCACTGAACAATTCAATGTTTCCGGGCCTGACATGAATTGTGGCTCATGTTCCTTACACCAGTATGTTGTATCGTACCCAACTTTTGGATTCCATGTGCTTCCAGTCAGATGGGTCCAGATACTGTCTCTAGGTATGGCCTCTTAGGTAAAATTACAGGTGAAGATTCCCTGTTTGGCCTCTTTCTTTGGGAGGAGGGACTTCACAGTCCAATCACCCTATCTTCGGAAACCAATGCTGACACTCCCAAGACTTCCCAGCAGTTTATGTATATTCCTTCCTCTCCCCACCTGCCAAGTCCCACTTGGCTGTGGTTGCTGTGTACTTCAAGTATTCAGGGACATATAGCAACTAAAGTAAGGAACACTGGCTTTGCACAGCAACTTCTTAAATTACACACTTTACTCTTAGCATAGGAGATTTACAGATTTATGCAAAAACAAAGTCCTGAATACAATCCCCCCTCAGAGTCCTTATTGCACTTCAGAGCCCTTTAGCTTTGGTCAGTGTCCTTCGAAAAGTACACCACCTCCCTCTCTTGCCTCCATTCCTTCAGTTGGGATTTCCATTTCTGGTGGCTCCTCTTGGCTTACAGAAGCCCACCATTTAAAATCCATCTCTATTCCTCTTTAGTCAGGTGGTCCACTGGAGAAACTACAGCTCTTCCAATCAAGTGTTCAGTCTATGGGGAATTCCACGTCGCCCCAAACAGGTTTCTGGGAAGAGAGAATTTATTCAAAGACCTTGCTGTCAAAAAAACTATTCCTCAACTATTCAATGGCGAGGCCAGGATTGCTTTGCTGCACATTTCCAAGCATGTGTGCCAGGGTCTTGCAAGCATATGGAGGTTCTAATCCACTGAAAGGGGATTTAACATTTCCAGTGGGACCCTAAGAAAGATTTCAAATGGATAATAGACTGGAGAATATGGAAACAACGGGGAAAATCAAATATTTTTTCCACTACTGTGCTTTACAAAGGTAGTGAACATTTTTGATCCGGAAGGACAGGAATAGATATTATGAAGTAACCTTTCTGAAACAGGAATTGGCAGAATGCAGAATTTTTGCTGAGGCCAGTTTTAATTTGGGGTTGCCCAGAATCAAGATAATGGAGTATACAGAAGGGTAGGCAGCAGCTATAAATATACACACCATATATTTCCATTCATCATTGAAATAGGATGGGTTTCCTATTGGGATGGTTGAAACCACATAATAAATATTGTAGAAGATGAAAAAGGACACCACAGATTTAAGAGCACGCATATGGGCATCCGTGCTGGGGTTCCTGAAATTTGGATTAAGGTCTGAATTAAGGTTCATTTTCCTGATGTGTCTCCAAAGGGATATGATTAACAGAACAGATGAAGCAATAAATAAGATAAGGGGGAAAATAGATCCTACACTGTGTATCAGAAAAGTGAACTCCAAAAGGTTATTTATATTGTCTGACATCGTGCTATTTGTTGATAGACGATCTGTGGAGTTGTGAGAGGATACGCAATAGGAATAGCTGAACAATGTAAAAGCAACTGTGGTAACCAAGCAGTAAAGCACAGAGCCCCAAAGCAGCCATGGCACCAGTTTGGAGATTTTCAATTTTAAGCAGCTGAAGAGGGATTGGTTGAAAGTGGCAATCTTCACACAGTAGAACACAGAAAGGCAGCTTGCAAAACAGAGACTCACTTGGTTTATGAACATCCAGATAACTAGGTAAGGCTGTAGTGTTTGAAATCTATCAAAGATATTTTGATATACCTTAGATGAAATATTGTTTAATGTCACCAAGAATTATAGGCAAAATCTGGAGAAGGCCAGACTGGTTATGATCTTATCATACGAAGACAATGTTCTGCTTTTGGCCCAGTCGATACAATTTAAGGCAACAATATATCCATTTGCAACAAGTCCCACTGATAATTCTATTGCTGAGATGATCAGATAAAAAATAGCAGCAGGACCTAAAGACTTTTTCATCCTTAATTCTCAGTTTGTAGCTCACTTCTCAAGACTTTCCAGAAGACTTGGTTTAGAAGACATCAGTTCAGAAGGCTTGGTTTAGAAGACTGTTCCTGTCGGCTCATGGATATACAAAGCTTAGTCCTTTTCGTATAGGTTCAAAAGCAGGATGAAAATTAACTTTCACCTGTTGTTCATATATAACCAGGTCATTTCATGAAGATTCAAATCTGGCATCTATCCTGTTACTAAATATCTAGTTCATGGACAAAGATATTTGCATGTCCCTTCCCAAAATGCCCTGTTAGTGACTAATCAAATTATTATTTTAATAAACCGAAAACCTAACCATTTATTTGAATATCGTAGGTGCTTTCTAAAATAAGCATGAGGTATAAAACTTGTGTGGTATACTGGCCTTAGTTAGCCCTCAGCACAAGAAATAATATAATATACATATGGCAATGGTCAATGGAAACTGGGAGATACATTTAGATAACTGTGACAAGATATTTGGACAAATGTGCAGAATTCCTACCCTGATTTTTTTTTCATTCAAACTCATTTGTTACCATTCTAGTTATAAAATAATGACAGATCCCTCAAAATAATCTCCAGCAGCACTTATGACATCCCACTTAGTGTGTTTTCTGTGTGCAGGTTTATTGTAAAATGGAGATCAATATAATAAAGAGGATGTAAAGCACAAATGCTAAGAGGAAGAATGCAATCTGCCTTGAGCCTTGAAGTGCTAATCTCTACCCATATGCTGAAGCAGCAGTATGGATTGGTCTCCCAAACACTCCTTCTGTCTTGATATAGTTTCCTTTTCCTGACATCTAGTACATTTCTTGCTCTTGAGGGAAAACCCCAGACTAAAGCCACAATTTCTGACCTGTTCTTTTTAAGAGAAAGACTTAAGTGTTTGCAGGCAGAAAAACAGAGTAGGCGGACAGAGGAGAAGCCAAAAGAGGGAGTTTGCCTGGGAACCGTCCCAGAGGCGCTATGGTGAGTGCTGCATTAGGGGGGCTGTGTTGTGAGCTGGTGCGGTGAATATCCAAGTTTCTGCTGTGACCATTTGTTTGACTGCTGCTAGTTGCAGGGACTGTTTGATTGTGTGTTTGTTTGTTCTAAAAATATGAATTGGGAGTACTTTGTTCCAGGTGAGCCTTGCGTGGTTGATTGGAGGGAAGACTTTGAGCTGGGGCAACTGCTTTGAGCCAACAGCCTTATAAAAAAGCAGCCACTTTTGAACTGAGTGAGCTGCGAACAGAGGAGAAGCAAACAGAGGGAGTTTCCTTGGGAGTTTGCCTGGGGGGAGTTCCCACAGCGGTTTTGCCTTTCAGGCTTCTGAGAAGTAGTTATAACATCTGAAGAGGCTCTTGGAAGGAGTACAATATAGATAGTGAGAGATCAGCTGTTGTGACCTGCACAGGATATGCCATGTTTGTCTTTCTCCCAGAGGATAGAAGTGACTTTGCCTGTACGAAGTGCAAACTGGTCTCCGTATTGGAAGAGAAGATTAAAGAACTAGAGACCCACGTATCAACCCTGCATTGCATCAGAGAAAATGAACATTTTCTAGATAGAAGTCAGAGTTTGGTACTGCACGCACATCATGCTGAAGAATAAGAGAGGGCAGTGCAGAACAGGAAAGAAAATTGGCAGCATGTGACCTCCAGAAGAAGAAAGAGGAGAACCCATATACCTCTAATGCAGACAAAAGTAAGAAACCGTTTTCAGCCTCTCTGCACAGGTACTGCGGTGAAGAATGGTTTGGACGAGTCATCTGAGGGTACGGATCAGAAGAAGACCCCATCGACTGGAAGGTATGGGATGCATTGTCCTAGGGATAGTATTCCACAACCACCACTCCCAAGAGGAGGAGACAGTTGGTGGTGGTCAGGGATTCCCTCCTAAGGGGGACGGAGACATCCATCTGTCATCCCGACTGGGAAATTCGAGAAGTGTGCTGCTTGCCTGCAGCTAGAATTCAGGATGTTACGGACTGTCTGCTGAGACTGATTAAGTCCTCGGACTGCTACGCCTTCCTACTTCTCCATGTGGGCACCAATGATACTGCCAAGAATGACCTTGAGTGGGTCACTGCAGACTATGTGGCTCTGGGAAGAAGGATAAAGGAGTTTGAGGTGCAAGTTGTGTTCTCGTCTATTCTCCCTGTTGAAGGGAAAGGCCTGGAATCTCCATCCTCAGAGACTTTTAAGGCCTGGCTTAATAATTTAGTTGGGGTTGGTCCTTATTGAGAAGGGGTTTGGACTAGATGACCTCCTGAGGGCTCTTCCAATCCTTAGTGCCACCTTGACTTGAAACAGGGACTTGAAATTTGACAGGGATGTCAATTGTCAGGGGGATGGCAAGGACCGTGAATTGAGATTCTATGGGAAACAATCATAGAGAACAGACAACAGGTCTGATGTGCTCCCAGTAGTTTCTGTTGCTGAAGAGACATTCTACAGTTGCAGGTACTCAACACCTTTTGGGGATTTAGCTGTAGATTTATTGAACAGATCTGGTAAGGAAACTTCATAGAAATGATAGATTCATAGATTTTAAGCCCAGAAGAGACCATCGTGATCATCTAGTTTGATATCTTGTACATTGCCATCCACAGAACCTCAACCACACACTTCTGAAAAAGGCCCATAGCCTGTTGACTGAGTTACTGATCACATTTTAAATATTTCAAGTTACAGAGAATCCACCATTTATTCTACTTCAAACCAGCATTTGAACTTTGCCCCAAAGAAAGGTAACCCTTCTCTGCAGTTGTTCCAGTTTGAATTCATCTTTCTTAAACATGGGAGACCAGAACTTCATACAGTATTCCAGTGAGTAGATCTCACTAGTGACTTGTAAAATCATTACAGAACTTGATTATCTCAATTGGAAATACCTCACCTAATGCATTCTAGGACTGCATTAGCCTTTTTCATGGCCACATCATATTGCCCACTCATAGTCATCCTGTAATTGATCAGTAAACTGAGATCTTTCTCCTCCTCAATCTCTTCCAACTGGTAAATCCCCAGATTACTGGAAAAAATCCTGTTGTTAGTCCCTAAAGTCCCTTGCACTTTCACTATTAAATTTTATCCCATTTCTATTACTCCAGTTTTCAAATTTGTCCAAATCTTCTTGTATGATATTCCAGTCCTCCTCCATATTAGCAATAGCTCCCAACTTTATGTCATCTGCAAATTTTACTAGCACATTCCTACTTTTTGTGTCAAAGTCATTAATGAATATGTTAAATCAGATTGGTCCCAAGACCCATTTTAGAGGAATTCCACTAATAACCTCTCTCCAGACTGATAGATCATCTTTCAGCATGACCCATTATAGTGTAACCCTTCTGCCCATCTGAGTTGGCAGCAACAAGGGCCAGGTTCAGTATCTAGGGGTTCCGTTTCAATAATGCAATGCAAAACCAGCTCGAGCTCCCACCCAGTGACCTGGGACAATTACATACCAACCCCCTGGGCGCCTCTAAGAGGCAATACTTCCCCTCTCGCAAGCACCGAGTCTGAGTGTAGCAGAAAATGTTTAATAACATGAGGTAAACGACATCAGCATTAAATTGGGAAAACACCACAAACAGGATTCATAGCACAAACCATGAGCAAAAGACCCACCCCCAATGTCCTAAACGTCCAACACCCCAAAAGTCTCTTGAGTCCAGCAACCCCAAAATCACCCAAAAGTCCAACAACCCAAAAGTCTCTGTCCCTGGTCAATGCAGCCCCAGAGTTCAAAAGTTTATCTGCAGAGTCTTACCCCCCCCCCCAGCCTGGGTGGAAATGGGGGCAAAAAAGGGGTACGCAGGGTATTAAGGGGCACCTTACGTGGTCCGAGGCCGACTGCCCCGCCTCTCCATGGGGTTCTGCTGCAGTCTTCACCACGAGCCGCTCCACTCCACCAGCCACTTCGCTCCTCCAGCCGTCCTGTGAGCCGCTCCAACCATCCCGCAAACTTCTCCGCTCCGCTCGCCGTCCCCTGGGCTACACCAACTGTCCAGCAAACTGCTCCGCTAACTGTCCCACTCGCCGCTCCAGCTGTCCCGCAAACTACTCCACTCACCGTCCCATGGGCCACACCAATTGTCCCACAAACTGCTTAGCTCGCCACTTAGCAATAAATCTTCAGGCTCTCCCACTAGTTAACACAGCACTCAGTGATCTCAGCTCATAGTGATTTCAGCTTGTAGTAGGGGAGCCCCAGTGCTAGTGAACTATTGGCCCAAAGTGAATTCAGCATAGCCACATGTAATTAGACTCTTAATGGAATCAAAATTAGCTCTGCCATTCAACAGTGGAGATGGTACAATTGGTGTTTCAGGCCCTCAAAAGGGGCCCATGCCATCAGGTACAAATACCTGTCCCCAGCCTCTCTCTCCATTCACTGGGTTTTGTAACCCATGCCCCTTGTCTAGCGGGTGCTACTTAGTTAATGGTGAGTCCCTCTGTCATACAACAGTTCCACTGGCCTTGATTCACAGAATCAGGGAAACAACACTTTATTCTTCCTGCCCCAATAACAGAGAAACTGGGGATCCCACACCAGCCAAAGTAACCACTTTCAGTTGCTGTTGTCCCAGGCTAGGCGGGTGGGTGTGCCTATGCAAACAAGATCAACCCCTGAAGTTCTTTTCCACCCTCGCCATAATTCACCACCAGATGTCAGGGTAGAGCTCATCCTGACTCTGCTTACATCAGTTTCCCATT